TGAATCAAAGCTGGTTTTATCCATCCAGTCTGCCAGCACACTCTTCAAGTATTATGAATCAAAGCTGGTTTTATCCATCCAGTCTGCCAGCACACTCTTCAAATATTATGAATCAAAGCTGGTTTTATCCATCCAGTCTACCAGCACACTTTCCAAGTGTTAGGGATAAGCAAGTCCCTACTTTACAAGGGGTAGGAGACCAACTGGTTACCCTTGCTTGATTTAGCCCACCTGTTGGTTTACCAGGGTGTGGCTGCTGTCACACGCAAACAACTATTTGGAGCCACAGGTGAGAGCTGGGTGCAAGTGGGAACCAATGCAGATGAACTACTCCAATTTGAGCACGACTTATTCGTCATTGGTACTACTACTCCTTGACACCCCATATGTACTATAAAATAGTACTAATATTGAACTAATTACAGTTAATACTGTAATATATAGAAACACAGATAAACTTACATCTTATTCAATATGAGCCAAATTCCAGAACATATGCACAGCTTCTATGTACATGACCTCTTATGCATCTGGTCAAGTTCTACTTGTTTTAATCCACTAGTATATTATGATGCCCTTGCTAAAGTGAGTCTGCCCAATGGCCAGACTTGAAAAGAATGCTCATGCAGAGAACAAAGCAGAGGTGATCAGTTCTTAATAGTGGAAAGATTACTAAAGAAAAGTTAGCATAGAATTTGGTTTTAGTTATAATAAATGCAAGATAATGCATGTGGGTTATCATAATTTGAATTATAAGTATAATTTGGATGGGAATAACCTTAATAATATTATGAAAGAAAGGGATCTTGGTGTAATAGTCGATCAGTCTCTAAAGCCATCCAAGCAATGTGCTATTGTTAGTGGTAGGGCAAATAGGATTTTAGGTTGTATCTATAGAAATATTGAATACAAGTATAAAGAGGTTATAATGTCATTGTAGAGGTCACTGGTTAGGCCACATTTGGAGCATTGTGTTCAATCTTGGGCTCCTTACCTTAGGAAGGACATTGAATTGTTGGAAAGGGTTCAGAGAAGGGTTGCTAGAATGGTGCCTGGGATGGAGGGGTTGTCATACGACAAGAGGTTGAAATCTCTCAAATTGTTTTCTCTTGAGAAAAGAAGAGTTAGAAGGGGGTCTGATTGAGGTGTTTAAGATTGTAAAGGGAATTGATAGTGTTGATGTATCATCTTTTTGAAATTCTAGTGTCCTCTCAAAGATCACACATTGAAAATATTTGTAATAGTAGATTTAATATCTGATAATATTTATTTTTAAAGTTTAAAGATTTTAATATTTCCCAGGTTTTATACATCCATTGGATATTAATTTATCAGTTAATAATTTAAATTATCTAAAGAAGAAAGCATCTATCTTTTTTATTTTAGTAAGAAATAACTGTTCCTTCCACAAAAATAACACCCAAGTCTAAATATTATACAATATAACTAGAAACATGTTTCCTTCTAATCTAAGTTCTATCAAAAAAGATTTTAGAGGGGTCAAATTTAAATTGTTCATAAAACTTACGTCATCAATATAACAAAATGTTACGGAATACAGACAAGGTATTATTAACTGTTTCATAAAGGTATTTTCATAAGAGTAAAGATACGAAATACCCCCCCCCCATTTCAACTGTTATTAAAGGAAATATAATTTCCTTTTGTGCTTCCATAACAAGTGAAATACCTTAGTTTTATTTTTTCAAACATCAACCCCCCCCCTGTGCTACTCCCTAGGGGGCTCTAAAGGTACATGCCATGTTTTATGACAATTCTTCTAGTAGTTTATCTGTTATAATTGGACAAACACACAGATAATTGTTGGTATATACACACACACACACACACTTATCTAAAATGCTCTATATACATAGGAGAGACCCGATAATCTAAGCCCTCTCAAAATGTAATCTTTCATCATGAACACTGAAAATAGTTAACTAAGAAAGAAATGGATTATACCTATGCACTTTTTCAACCTCGTGTGTGCTTGGTAGCCTTTAAGAGGGATAGCCTCCTTACATCTCAGGCATTGTTTGTACTGGTCTTGAGAATCACACTCAACTAACAAGTGTTCTGTATAGCCAGCTATCTCAACAACCTTAAAAAACATGAGAAAAGGTATACATGAATGTAAGTTACTTGTATCATTGGAATTTCTTATCTTATGTTAACTTCAATGGTAAAAATTGGTGCATCTTGTTCTCGGTAAAAACAAAACATTGGTCTATTTAAAAAGAAATTAAAAAGTATTTATTTATTTAAAACAATTATGAAAGGGTGTCTTAGATTATAAAATACAAAACATTTGTACACTTGATTTTTCAAAAAAACACTATTATCAGATTATTTCAGAGTTGTTTTTGTGTTTATTTTGAGTTTTGAGACTTCCAA